GAGACTGTCACCAGACCAATCAAATTCACAGATCCATGATTGCATGTCAACTTATTGATTGACCGCTGCAGAAGTTCTACATATCAAGGAGATCCGGACCCCAGTCTATGCAGGGTCCTGCGGCACCGAACATTCTAGTGCAGCCCTATGAACCAATGCTTGAATTCTTCCAAAATGCGGAACTACCGCCAGCCGGGCCTGTCTGAGCCAGGAGCTTGTCAAACTTCATAGTGAATTGTGAGGAAAGAGAGAACAGCGGGTTGAGGATCCCTCCGCGTTGGGGCTAGCTGTCGACAATCAAGATGAGACACGCGCTTCAGATGGAGGGCAAAGTCTGGGCAGGCTCTATATCATCCGCAGTCGCTCCCAGCTAGTCACATCGATGAGCCTGGACTTAGCCTGGGAACTAAAGTTGCAAGGTGGAGATAATGCAGGCTGCCCATAAGAGCATCTGCGCTTTCAGCGCACGGGCTACCGGGCTGCACGAAAGGGATGGCCTAGGCTAACAGCCATGGCAGGAGAGAAGTCTATAAGACAGGCTCCTGCCGCTAATCTTCTTTGGGGGAGAGGTGACTAAATGTGTTTTTCAGCCATCTGGTTCCAGATATAAGATGGATTATCCTGTTGATCATGTATTGATCCTGCCGTTCACAAGTGTTGATGGAGAGATTTAAATCTACTGTACTCAATAGCAGTTGAGCAGTTGACCGGTCTCTCGCTTCGGGAGTTCAAGCTATCGACTAGATTCCGTACTCACATACCTACTACTCCTGGACTTGGAAATTTTCACCAAATGATGTCCTTTTATTCTTCCCACGGACAAGTTGCTCCGTTCCTAGCTGCAGTTTGTTCCTGGTATATTCGGCCATGTTATTGGCCAGTTGCCTTGCATTATAAACTTCATACTTCTGCGTGCCGTTAGGCCACGCTGTTGAGCGCGGCCTATCGTTAATCTTCATGAAATCTATCAGGTACCCTCAAGTGCAGCAAAGAGAAGGAACCAAGAAGATACATTCCTCCCGCCAAAAGGAATGGCAGCCCGAACCATGCGGGCCCTAGACGCAGACCCAACCGAAACGCGTAAGCCAGCAGTGGACTGGCAATCACCATCCCAAATGACGTGATAGCTGCAGCTGACGAATAGAGGGTTCCCACGCGGTCCGGCCGGACCAGCGCGGTCACAAAGCTGCGGCATGACACTGCGAAGGCAGCCCCCAACGAGAACAGCACAATGCCCAGGATGAGAACGGCCCGCGATGCGGCCGTGGCCATGACAAAGAAGCCAAGAGCGGAGACGAAACTACTTCCTTGTGCCAAGAGTAGGTCTTTCAGCGAAGCTGAAAGTTTGAAATACCGGACGAGTAGGAAGGACAAGGCTGGCATGATGAGTAGATAGTTTGCGAGTATGATGAGACCGCGCAAGGAGATGAGGAGGCTAGCCTAGAGGGGTGGTGAGCACATCAAGCTTCTTGAAGAGAAAGGTGACGGCGGCGATGCCACTTACATCGGCAATACTCCATCCGAAACGTTTCGACGTATATTGTAACAAGAGGCTCGTTGATTGCTTGCTGATGGATGTGACAAACAGGGCAAAGAGACAGATGGCGATGGCTGGGCTGCCGATCATCAACCTGGCCGAGTCCTGGAGGTCCTGGAGTTTGCCCTTGATATACTGCCTCACCGAGGTCTTTCCGTCCAGAGACGACCGTGTCTCTTCTTCACTGGTCACAATCGTCGGGCTAATTTTGAATTTGGCGTCGTTCAGGGTTTCTGGCATGGGAAACGCTGCCAATGATCCGAGGGTGGCAACCCCAAGTCCGAGCATGAATGGCAGCCATGGATCACGAGTCATTAGATATGCACTGACTGGGGTGGCTAGGATTTCAGACACAATCGCAATGCTGGTCAGGCGGAACAAGGCTGTGGCTCTAGAGGCAAATAAGCAAATGCGACAATATGACTATCCATAGAAGGGCTATCGCATACATCTCTTCCTCGGCGAACAGGTCCGCTACCATAACCAGAGCAATAGATGAGAGGGTGATGTCCCCACCGCCAATGAGCCTCCACATCCCTGACAGCCAGACCAGCCGCAGTGGTAGGAGAGTGGAATAAAAGCCTTGTTATCATTGCCTTAGCCGGAAACACAGTTCATGTAGGCAAGGGCCGTATTCCCACTTACACACGATGCGGACCCAAAGCTCCCCGAGGAGGGTCCCCAGGAGACCAAGAAGGAGGACCGGTTTGCGCCCCCAGCGGTCCGCCAACACACCATACGGAACAGACAAAAGAATGCCTAGGATGTAGCGCCATCAGCATCGGCACAATGGAATTCAGCGGGTCATCATACCTGGTAAAACGTCGGATGTCTCTTTCCATCCATTCACGAGAGCCAACTCACTCTGCACCGGCTCAGACTTACAAATTTCTTCTGTTGGAACGGTGTCTGCTGGGTTGCCAAGAGTAGTCAGATAATTCTGGCAGACAATATTCTCGAAGATCTTGGTTTGGGGGGCGGCAGTTAAGTAGAATCCAAAATCCACGGCGAGAATGAGTATGGACGCTGCAATCATGACGGTCAGCTTTTGTGATCTCGAGGCGGATGCCGGTTGAGCTCTGTTCGCCTCTAATAGAGGCGCATTCTCTTCGTGAGCATCTATCGAGTCAGACGTGTTCGCCATTGGATCTAGCCCAGTGATGGCGTTGTGTTCAAAGCTGTCAAGAACCGACTCCCAGTCGACAGAGATTAAGTAGGAATATTGGGAAAAGGAGAGCAAAGAGCTGGAGGATGGAGTATGCTACTAGGCAAGGGGAGGGGGCGCTACCTGGTAATTAGTGCCCACCGCTGGACGTATAGATTAACCCACTGCTAACCTCTTGCGGCAGAGGATGAGAATGAGATAGCATAAGAGAACACACAAGCTGACTGATAGGCGTCTGAGCGGGGAACGCTCAATCATGCCGCCAATAAGATTAAAATATTGACAATATCGGTACATATGCTTGGGCATAATCAATGATCGAAGATGTATATAATCTGATTGAATTCTACCGGCCCGCAGTGACGGCAATAGCAATGCATGCTGTATACGAGTGCTAATCTATAAGTGACCACTAGCGTTGAGCTCTGTCAGGTATTTTATCTGAGTTAATGATCGAGAGAATGGAGGTTGAGATGCATGTACAGGATGGCATGGTCAACCTTCAATCTGGGTACGATAAGCCACACGTCTGAGCCAATTCGCCAGTCCTGTAGCTAATTATCTGTCCTGATGTACACCCACATTCAATATGAAAAGTTCACGGTAAGTTTTCATGTACTGTACTTAATGCCTGGAATAAAAAATAAAAAGTATAAGTCAACCTTAACTTAAGATGCTGTGCTTACATAAGCATTTCAAACTGAACCGTCGGCTCCGGCACTTTTTCGAACCTGAACTCGCCAACTCCGCGGCAGAGCTCCAATCTTGAAAATGTCCTCCTTTCGCTCATCAGCTTTCCAGTCGCTATCTCGGAGCAGAACCTCTTTCCTGCGCTATCAGCAAAGGAGGTGGGCCCAAGTACATGATGTCCGCTTCCTCGCGACACACCATGACCCCAAACAGGTGCTGGACAGGTACAAGGCCAAGCTTGACCAGAAAGCCCAACAGTGAGTCAATAGCAATCCTCAAAGCCTCGCCATCGCGAGTCTCATATTGAAACCATTAGGGAGGGCCATGAGGACATTGAATCGTTGAAGGATGCCTACAAGGAAAAGATCCAAGACTTTCGCCGTAAAGCATCCACCTCAATCACCCCCGAACCATCGACACCGTCTCCCTCCACCACCGGGCCTCCTCCCCCTCCAACCCCACCTCCCTCCCCTCAAGCTCAGGCTGCGATAAAGGCTACGACCTCCGCGAAATCAGGTGCCATTAAAGGTCTCGATTCTTTCCTCGACGTCGAGAAGATCCGCAGTCTGCCACCCAAGGAAATCGAAGCCCTCTGGCGCCTCCGGCACGCCAATAACTCCCACTCCATCTGTGCCTGTATCCCCGTGGAGACATACCAGCGCATTTTGTCTGCCGCGCGCCAAAACCCCCAGTTTATACTACCTCTACCACGCAATGCGACGCAGTCCGAGGCCGCGGAGGGTGAGAACAGCGAGAATGCCAATGGTGGTGCAGACATCCATTTCCTCCAGTGGGCCTTCCACCCCCCGGCATCAGCCCCATTTCCATCGGCCACCCACGCTTCACTTGCCAACTCCCACACTTCCACAATCATCTTCACGCATCTTGCCGCCTACAAGTTGCATGGCTCCTTTGCCCAGCCGCATACTACTATTACCCACCATCTTGATCTCGCAGACGACAAGGGACTGGTCCTTATGCATGGCCAGGTGATGCCGGACTCTGGTGTTTCTATCACGGATGCCAGCTGGCTGGTTAGCTGCGTGCAGCGATTCTATGACTTTGGTGGACAAGCTAGTGGGCGGAAGGGAGAGTTGTTACGCATGTTCACTCGGGGTGACGTGCAGAATTTCAAGATTGAAGAACTATTGGCTGAGGCCGAGAAGGTTTAAATGAGCCCTGGTCAGAAAAGCCCGTGTACTATAGCAGTCAAGTCATGACCGTATTCCCACCCTCGTATTGCAGCGAGCATTACCAAGACCCCCTCGGAGTGGGGGAAACCGCCGTGATTGGCGCTAGCTCCTTCCGAGTCCGGTCAGACGTAACGGTGGCATATCACGTGACCATAATGTACATCATGCAGCCCCGCGCGCCTCCCCGGAGAGCCAACACGCGTCCAGATTTGCAACCATTAAGGACCCTGATTGGTATCAGAGCATTGTTCCAGACCCCCGAGTCCTCCTCCTTATCTACTGTACTGTACAAGTTACAAGTTCAGACTCCCCAACTCTTTGTCCCCAGTGTTGGGTCCCAACCGTTTCTGTGTCGGTCGGAGAGGTCCAGATCGACGGAGTAACTTACCTAATCAAAGCTAGCTTCAACATCCGAATTCCTCCGGAGATCGTTCGATTCGCATCATTCTGCGCTCAATTCTTGATTTATTTCGCAAGAACTTTCCTTCTTCCGCTGCATCTCCAGCTGCATTCCCAACCAACGACTGCTTCAGTAGCTGCAGTGTATCCTGTCTTGGGCGGCATAGTGTCGACGCCAGTGGAAAAAGCTGTCCGACTATCGCCTCATCCGCCCAGTCTGCGTGCTAGACGACTATCAACGCGCGCACGCGCTGGCTGTCCCCAGAAAGAAAACCCGCCGCAACGTCACCTCCCGTCACACTCACAGGCCGATAAAGCGTTTCAACCCCGCGGTCATGAGTTGAGGGACAAGAAACGAGGCACACCCCGCGGCAATATTGACGATTTTTGCTTTTTCTCTACTCTTCTCTTTTTCTCGGTCTCAACAAGTTCGAGTAACCCAAGACGCAGCCATGGCTCGGAGATATATGATCCCGTGGCTATATGACCTGGGGGTGTGGATTTTCACCCTCTGTCTGGACATTTTCTTCCGCGAGGTCTACTCTCGCGGTGCATGGCGGATCCCCAAGCGGGGCCCCGTCATCATTGTTGCCGCCCCCCATGCTAATCAATTTGTGGATTCGATCCTGCTGATGCGCATCATGAAGTACTATGCGGACCGTCGCATCTCGTTCCTGATCGCCGACAAGTCGATGCGCGAACCTTATATTGGAACTATGGCTGGATGTATGGGGGCGCTGCCCGTTGTGCGGTCGATGGATCATGTCAAGCCCGCAAAGGGTGAAATCTACCTCCCAGACCCGGAGAACGACCCGACATTGCTCAAGGGACGCGATTGCGATTTCACGAGTGAGCAGTTCATGGTGGGCGGGACCATTATCCTCCCCCGTGTAGGCAAGTCGAGTCCCGAGCAACAGGCAATCGAGGAGATCATAGATGCGAACACGATCCGACTGCGCAAGCCGTTCAAGACGTTTGAGAAAGACCATCCTCTCTATGCTGCTCTGCGTAAGGGAACCAACTTCAAGATCGCTCCCCACATCAACCAGAGCAAAATGTTTGATGCAGTGTACCGCGAACTGATTGCTGGTGGCTGCATCGGTATCTTCCCCGAAGGTGGCAGTCACGATCGCCCCAGCCTTCTCCCATTGAAGGCTGGTGTGGCTATTATCGCTTTGGGCACACTGGCGCTGGATCCCAACTGCGGGCTGTCCATCATCCCGTGTGGTATGAACTACTTCCATCCGAACAAGTTCCGCTCTCGTGCCGTGGTGGAATTCGGAAACCCCGTTCAGGTGCACCCGGATCAGATTGAAGCGTTCAAGGCTGGTGGAAACTCCAAGCGGAATGCGGTGGGCTCTCTCTTGGAAACGATCACAGAGGCATTGACTACCGTGACCCAACAAGCTCCTGACCATGAGACATTGATGGTCATTCAGGCCACTCGTCGACTGTACAAACCGCTCAGGATGAAGCTGCCCCTTCCGGTCGTCATCGAGCTCAACAGACGTCTCCTTAAAGGCTACACCCAGTTCAAAGACGAACCAAAGGTACTTCAACTCAAGAAAGCCATCTCTGACTACAACCGCCGACTTCGTGCTGTGGGAATTCGCGACCACCAAGTTGAATGGGGCGACGTCAAGCACCGCCCCTGGTGGCTGGTTCTGGGCACCTTGCTCTACCGTGTCGGCGAACTTCTGACCCTGGCCGTTGGCACTCTACCCTCCGTCGCCCTCTTCTGGCCCGTCTTCGTCACCGCCAAGGTTGTCTCGATGAAAAAGCAACGTGCTGCGCTAGCCAACTCGGTCGTGAAACTCGAGGGCCGTGACGTCGTCGGCAGTTGGAAGATCTTGGTCGCCATGGGTCTCGCCCCAGCGCTTTACACTTGGTACACTGTTATTGTGACCATCTGGCTACACTACTGCCGCCATGATGGATTCTACGCTTCTGTCGTCCCGTGGTGGATAAACGCCCGGACTTACATTTCCGACTCAATTCCCCTGGCACTCTTTTCCATCTTCTTCTTCGGCCTCATGATCTCTGTCTCCTTCGCCGGTCTCCGCATTGGCGAAATTGGCATTGACGTCCTCAAGTCTCTGCCCCCTCTCTTCGTCGCTCTCGACCCTCGCTCCGCCAGCTCACTCGCCAAACTTCGCGCCGAGCGTCAAGCTCTCTCTGCCAAAGTTGTCGACGTAATCGACAACTTCGCCCCTGAAATCTTCCCGGACTTCGAATCCGAGAAACTGATCGACCATGAACATCCCGGAGACGATACCTACCAGTCTCGCCTCAAGAGTATGCCCCCCAGTGAGCCCGAGAGCCGCAATCGCAGCGCCAGCCGCAACGGACGCAGCCGCTCCCGCAGCGCTGGGTTCAATCTGTATGAGACCTTCCTCAAGCCCCTCAGTATCAAGTCCAAGGATGACCTCGGCGAAGTCAACCGCCGCATTCGGGACTCGATGCAGGAACGCGGGCGCCAACGCGTTCGCGAGGAGTACGACCAAGACGGGGACGAAGAAGTGGTGTCCTTGGACGGGTCGGCCAGCGTCGGTAGTGGCGATGTAGTCGTCGTGGAAGAGATGAAGAAAACGAAATGATTTAATGGGTGTGTTTTGGGTGGCGACTATGATGTTGAGGCTGGCTATATGGGTATTTCTTTATATCTTGAAGGATTGTGACTACGCGCCAGCTGAGAGTGTAGCTTGGCAGCAATTTCTTTCGGGTATTTGCCCCGGACTGAGAAGTCATGTTGTGGTTGTTGTAGTTGTTGCTGTTGTTGTGAATGTCGATACCCTCCCTCCATTGTGCTTTTTATGTTCACCTTTGCCATGCCTTTTTTGTTCTACTAGGCTTCCTCCGTGATTTATGCATATCTTATGTCTCCATCCTGTTGCGTTCTGCGAGCTGATGCATTATGTTTCTGCGTTTGATATGGGAAGAAAAAGCAGTGAATGAACAGTGTCATGAAATCTCATTTCAATTTTCCAAGGGGTTGAATCCGATTGAGACTCGGTATAAACCAACCGTCTACAATCTATACACAGGTATTTGGTGCTTAGGAGTACTGTACTGGACTCAACATACAGGCTGTGCGAATAACAAATCCCAATTGATGAGGCAAGCATCATTTAAAACAATTGCAGAAAAGTAGATTATTGTACTGGTAGTAATGCTGAAAGGGAAGGCCTTGTAACCCGCCAAGGCGGGATGGCGCCATAGAGCGGTGACGGGGGGATGATGATAGATGCCTGAAAGGCTTAGTTGCCAGTCCACGAAGGGGTGGGGAGGGGGGGGGAAACTGGCTCTGCTCTTCTTCTTCTCCACACGAAACTCCAACTTTCTGACTTCGCCAAACTTTCACTATCTGGATCGCAAAAACTTGATTTCTAACGCAGAGAAGGTTTCTACAAGGGGAGAGGGACACAGGTATGTATGCGTGCTTTTTGGTTATGATGAAGGTATGTGCGTGTATTCATTGTCTAAATGACTAGGTACTCTTGAGATGCTTATGAGAAACAATGCTGATGATATGCTTTGCTCGCTGGGTTAGATTTATGTCATGATTAAGAGGTATCGTCATTAGCGGGTATCGTGCTAGGGGGACTGGAGTTGCACAGCAACTCGAAAGGATTGGTTTGAGGTATGGTCAGGACGAACTCGAACTCGAACTCGAGCTCGAACTCGAACATGTGACTCCGTTCCAAGTCTCGAAGGACAAGAAATCAAACACGCTTGTCGAGCAGAAGACCTCCGGTAGGGGTTTTGCTGGCGAACCCAGCTTCACGGTTGAAGACCTTCTCACCACGCAGCCAGGTCTCGCGAACCATGCCGCGAAGCGTGCGGCCTTGGTAAGGGGAGCACTTGTTCCGGAAGAGCATGGTGCTGGGCTCGACGACCCATTCGGTGGTATCGTCAAAGACACAGATGTCCGCGTCGTGACCGGGAACAAGATCGCCCTTCTGGTTCTGCAGGCCCACCTGACGGGCCGTGTTGGTGCAGCAGAGGCGCACGATGTCTTGGAGAGCTTGCTGGGTCATGGTCTCATCGGTGCTGGTGGCGAGGTCTTTGCGGCGACTGATCTCGGTCCACAGAATAGGAAGACCCAGGCCAACAGATGAGATGCCACCCCATGCCGAAAAGAAACTGCCTTCGTTGGTGGCGGGACTTTCAGATGTGCAGCCGCCAGGCACGTCAGCTGGGAGAAGCTTCAAGTCGGGTGTGCAAGGCGAGTGATCCGACACAATGGTCTTGATGACACCGTCATCGGCGTGACGGTCTACCTCTTCCCAAAGGCGGTCCTGGTTGGACTGCGAACGGATAGGGGGGCAGCATTTGTGGCGGGTATCACCGTCACGGATCTCCTCAGCAGCCAGGGACAGATAGTGGAAGCATGTTTCAGCAGTAATGGGAACACCCTCCGCGCGAGCCTTGCGCAACAACGGAATCGCTTCCATTGCAGACAGGTGCACAATATGCAGAGGAAGCTTAGGAGCTAGATGGGACAAGGATAGGATCTCTTCAACAGCACGAGTCTCATAAGACGACGGACGAGATGCAAGGAACGTGGAGTACGCCTCAACGGGCCCTTCCGGTGTAGGCTCCGTCTCTCCAGCCATTTCTGCATGGAACATCAGAGTTGTGGGCTCATCAGCTAATTCTGTCATAGCCTTTCGGATGTCATCCGAGGAGACGGCGGGGAACTCGTCAACCTACTTAAGGTTAGTATGGATATACACTATCAGAGACTAAAGATGCAGGGGAACAGTCACCTACCCCACTATCGATAAGGAATCCTTTGAAGCCACGAACACCTTCATTCACCAGAGCCTTCAATTCACCGGCATTGCCAGGGATGATGCCGCCATAGAAGCCAACATCCACCCAGCACTTTCCATGAGCTGCACGGAGCTTCTCTTTGAAATTGGCTACTGTGGTGGTAGGCGGGATAGCGTTCAAGGGCATGTCAATGACCGTGGTGACTCCACCAAAGGCAGCGGCCTGCGTGCCTGTATAGAAGCCTTCCCATTCGGTACGGCCGGGCTCATTGAGGTGGACATGGGCGTCAACCAACCCAGGCATTAGGACATGAGGGGAATAGTCCGTGTATGGAATATCGGCAGGAAAGTCGGTTGCAGGGATCACGGAATCGAAAACCGCCGTGATCTTTCCACTGGTGCGGGAGATTACGATAGTGGCTGCCGTCAAACGCCCCGAAATAACGGCTCGCGAGGAGACAATCACTATGATTGACGGTATTTGAACGGGCTCCATTTGTGGCTATGAACTGGGAGCACTCGAGTATGGAGAGAGGACAAGAGAGGAGAGGAGTCAAAGAGACAGAGCAGACAAAAGGTCGAGACAGACAGTCAGACTACTGAACACTGGACAAAGATAAGGAGAAGGAGGGCTGATAGGCCGATAAGGCGGAAATGGCGGTAGGCAAGGGATTCCTTTCTCTGATAAGGCAGGCAATGGGCGAAAAAACGATCGAGTCAGGCCCTCCGATAAGGGGTTCTTTAAGTATCCGACGTGATAAGCAGACATTGTTCCTCTTCGCCTCGCCGATTATCTAGTAGGCCAATCGTCCATAATATTGATCGAGTAACAGAAATCGGGGCCCACAGCAGTGACAGATCCACCGGGTCTTCCTCTCTTTGCCTCTCGTTTAACGGTTAAGCTCCTGACGATGGAATGGGTGAGTAAGATTATTCTGCATTACACCGGAAAGGTGCAAGTTGATCATGAGCCTCCTTATCAGCTGCTCTCGTGACTTAAAGAAGTGCTTGTGTCGCATCGTGGAAGGTTTTCTTTCTTTCGTTCTCTTCGTCTTTGCGACCTCCCTTCCATTGTTGCTCCCGTCCAGGCGGCAGACACTCGCGAAGGGGGGTCGTGAAATGTCCGGGTCTGTGTGTTCTTCACCCATGGGTCGGATGTATCGGGCGCCTCCGGCATCCGCCATCGGGGGTCCCCTGGGGCGAGACAAAATTTCGACTTTTTTCTGCCAAAGGAGATGCTCTTACTCGATCAAAACTCGGAGGGGTACCTGAATTTGACATTTCTGTTACTCGATCGAAATTCTCCCGCGGCCGCGGGATGGTTGAGCATTGACCCTCCTCTTCCCCTGTTGTCCCGGAGGTTTTGTGCGTGGCCTGGGCTAAGTGGATAAACATTGCCGGTCTCTCCAGACTCCAGAGAATCAAAAGAATCTAGATGGGCGCAGATTGGAATTCACTTTTCCCATGATTATTGCCCGTCCGGTACTCCGTAAAGTGCGGGAAACCACGCAGAAGTGACCGCCTTGAGACAGGATTCTGCCGGTCTGTTGTTGATTAAGTTTGGATCGCCACCACATACATCGTTATTCTGTCTTATGCTCAAAACTTGTCTCTGCTTGCTTTCCAGGGGGAGGCGAGGATGGTGATGGCATTTCATTATACTTCGATGAGGTCAAGTTGACTCGATTTTTGCCCGTAGGCGACTGCACCACCCCGATGACGGAAGACCAACAGGCGGTGTAGTGTAAGTCAGGCCTCAGTGCCGATATCGAAGCGTCCCATGGAATTGGGGCGAGGCCCTGGTTCCCTAACAAGGGTAGTGCATGGCAGTAAGTATGAAGCGAAAGTCATGTGCAGATATTGGACCACCCTGTTTTTTTCTGCAGAAAGCCAAAATGAGATCAATTGCGTCGGCTATCCCGGCTATTGAGCGTGTGGTAGGAAGGCGGTCTCACAACTCGGAAATGGAAAAGCGGAGGGTGAGGAGAAGAGGGGAAAGAGAAATTGTGGACTCAGGCTGGACTCGACTCAACCTGACTCACCTATGATCGATGCTTGCCTAAAGAGGAAGTGAATTGCCCTTGTTAGGTCACGTGTCGTCGTAGTGTTGGCGCAGTGGTTGCGATCATGAGGCCTACTCGAATACGAGATATCCTAGTCCCGAGCATAGCTCTTCGCTGGTTCTGCGACACGACAACCACTGCATGATGTTACAGGAATGCAGGCCTTGATTGTTTGATTGTTCGTCTAGATGTATACTTATCACCTGATGCGCAAATCATCAATCAAACGCACGTTACAGTCCGTTGATCCCGTCCTTGAATTGACGAATGTCATACTCCTCAGGGTATGTCTCCAAAATACGCTTAAGGTCTTTCATCTGCTCTTGCGCCTCCTCCGTGACCTCCTCGTACACCCCCTCGAACGCAGACCGAAGTGGTGGTTTCAACTCACGCTCGGCCTCGCCAAACTCTTTCAGCACTGCTTTGCGAAGCTGATCGCGTGTGTCTCGCTCAGTATCCTCGTTCCATATCCCTTCATTCTCTAACCACTTCCGCAAACGGATAATCGGATTGTCGCGACGCTTCCAGTCCTCCACCTCAACTCGGGCTCGATAGGCAAAACTGTCATCACTGGTGCTATGGTGTGAGACGCGATAGCTCATCGCCTCAATGAGAACTGGCTTGCCGCCGTCGGTCAGAGCGATTCGCCGTGCCTCACGCATCGCTTCGTAGACAGCAAAAATATCATTTCCATCAACCCGAATAGTATCAATTCCGTAACCAATTCCACGACTCGCGATGCCATCACCGCGATATTGCTCCAGGGTTGGCGTTGAGATGGCATATCCGTTATTGCGACAAATGAAGACTACGGGGCAGGATCGTGTCGCGGCAATGTTGAGACCTGCATGGAAATCGCCTTCGCTGGCAGCACCTTCACCAAAGTAGCAGGCTACGATTCGAGGTGGTATATCGGGGTTCTGAAGGGTTTGCAACTTCAAAGCATAGGCAGCGCCAGAGGCTTGTGGTATCTGGGTTGCAAGAGGTGACGAGATTGTGTGCTGTATCTGTCAGCAATCATACATCAAAGCTCCCCACTTCGTACAGGTAGGTCACTTACCGTTCTAGGATAATTTTTGCCATAGTGAACGGGCATATTACGGCCTTGGCTATTATCGTGTTGATTGGCAAAGAGTTGGCTCATGAACTCTTTTAGGGTGAATCCTCGCTGTTGGAAGACTCCGGTCTCACGATACTGAGCGAAAACCACGTCGTCGGGAGTCAATGCAGCGGCGGAGCCAACGCTGATACCCTCTTCTCCAGCAGAAACCTTTCCGAGCTGTTAGATCCTCTCCGTAGCAAGTTCTCATAAACTAGGTGGGAGTGGGCTTATCACCATGTAAAAACTCAATCGGCCTTGCCTCTGAGCCTCGAACATTATGACATCCATGACGCTCACTAGCCATGATCAGATGCTAAGTGGTCACCGTGGGGAACAGGTTCCCACCTACCCGTCATCATATTCTTGTACCACTCCAGTATCTGCTCCTTCGGTATATCGAGGAGCTTGCGCGTCTTATCAACCAGGACTCCGTCGGAGTCCATAACTCGGTAGGTAGGGATGTTGGACACTTCGGTGGGGTTGATGAATTCCATATCGGTGGTGAATTTGCTATTGACAGCGCCTGGAAATCGGACTCTAAGATAATCTTTAGCGATCGAACTCAAGACTTTGCTGAAAGGAGAGCCTTGTGGAGCGCCATACCGGTCAGATCCCGGACGCTGCGATATAGAGCTACCCCATCGCTGAGATATCACCGGTAAACGTGCATAAGAGCGACTTAACGAACGAGAGATGCTGAGCACCATGATGTATCTCTATGCAGTGCTGAAATCATACAATGATGCTGTGATAGAAAAAGAGATCCTCTGGCATGTACGGGCAGCTGCTATCTATCCAGTCTCCCTGGAATTCCTGGGGAATGCGGAGAAGGCGGTTGGCCTCGGCCTCGACGTCACATGGACACCGGGGATAGCCGCCGCAATCTGTGAGTTGAGTTTGCTTTGTTTGCGCAGATGACCTAATACTCATCGGTGATCGACCTGCAGGCACATGACCAAAGTAAGATCTTCTTTTCGATTGTCATTTATCGATCCTTTCTGGTATTCTGGATATTGTGTTGGTGATCCAGAAGGTTGACAACGGCTTCTGGGCTCGGTATGGGTCGGCCGAGACTAACGAGCTCGGTGAGCCTGTGAGGAGGGAGAGCTTGTTCCTTCGGCATGCCGATCCTCGGGCCGTGTTTCCGTGTGAGCCGTTGGTGTGAAAGCATGGACTTTTTCGACCCAGTGGACGGTACCTCAGCCATCTCTATCGATTTAAGATACACAATACGTGCTCCTTCCACTCGTCAGACAGGAGATTTCACCAAATTGTGGCTGAGTCGCGGTCGCACACACTATACTCAAGTACAGCTCACTCAGGTCTGACAGCCCCGCCCAAGAGCTGTGTGAACTGTGAATGGCAGCTTCAAGTCTTTCCACCAGCTCTGTAGTCTTCCGAGACACTGACTGGAGCCCCATAGCACGTTTCATCTCGGGCTAATGAGTGGCATAATGACCGAATTCCGGCTAATTGTGCTATGTGGCCAGCAGGCAGCTCCTCTCCTCTTTTTGCTCGACTCCTCTCGTATCTGTGCTCGAGAGAATGAGTCGTTAGTTAGGAAAACAGATTACATCGGGTATAGTCGGGGCCATGCCTGCATCAAAGGCCCAGATCTCTTCGCTTAGAACAAGACCGTAACGCTAATGGCAGAGCTATGGCGTTTTCCAAAGGCGTCGCGTATACACCGGGATAGCACGGAGCGACTAATGATGACTCGGTTGCGCTGGACGGAAATACTATTAGGAGTTGTGCACCGGAAGTTGGCACCAGAACCAACATCCGGTGACATGGACAGTGAAGTAGTTATTAGACCTATATACAATCTAAGAGTAGATCGACTGGTGGAGCTATAGCTCCGCTGGTGGTCGTGGAAGATACCGGATTGCGTATGGTTGACGAGCAGATGTCGTATAGATTTCCTACTTGCGCTTCAACCGAGGTATAAGGTTGATTGCCATTACGCGCGGAGATTACCTTTTTCACAACTCATCGTCGACAAAGATGCTGGATTTGAAGCCCTCGAAGAAGAAATGGGACGGACATCGTTCCGATGTCTCTTACTTGACTACGGAGCATATGTTTTTCACCGTAATAAATGCGAACGCTCGGTCGGCGGGAGCTGGCGAACTGCCTAAAAGGGTAATCATCGCCTTTCCCTCTTCCCATCCCTTGTCTTCCACTGTCGGAGTATCCTCTGACTACTTTCTATTTCTATCATCCACATCCACATCCACATTCTCCTGCTCAGCTATTTACTCTGCGTCCAACTTCCATCATACCTCTTGCAAATATACTCGTTTTTAATCCTTTCCTTCCTACTTTCCCCCTCCTCTTATAGACGGTGCCCGCCTCCCTGTTTCAACCCTCCGGCTACTGCCGAGTGCCGCGCAGCCATTAGCGATTGATCGACCGAACGGGCCAACCAAATCCCATGCACCATGGATCCGCTTACCTCCCTCCGGCAGCTGGTCCAAACCCATCCTCTCATCGATAACCATGCCCATAATCTCCTCAACAAGTCCAATGCGTGCAATTATGCAAAGTACGCTTTCGAGCAGATCAC